GAAGACTCATTTTTTGACTCATTGCAACACTTACCAAGTTCTAAACGTTATAATCAAGGCAGCTTCGCGATTTTCTTCGTTATATACCCGTCCAAGAACAAGTTTTGGGATTACTGTAATTGCAAATGTGTGCCTCTCCCTTACTCTTTGTGCCTCTGTTTTATGGAAGGACTCTGTCAAACGCGATTTTATCTAGATAGTTTCACTTATAGCGGAGATAAAGTAGGAGTAGTTCTGTTTGCTCAGCAATTCACAATCACTTTGAGATTTGTGGAGAGTCTGTGGGTTTTGTGATTGTCTTACAACAGAAGTTACAGGATAGGGAAGTCAAAAAATTGCTCTCAAATACCTGATTCCTCGAGTTTATCGTGCCTTTCGCACTAATTTTAGTTTCCTCCTTTATTCTTAAAAAAACTTTACCTTACTTCATAATGGCACTTAAACTATTTGATGTTTGTATAGTCACAACAGTATGCCTTCCTTTGCGAAAATCTGTGTCTGATTTCAGCTGAGATGTGCGAAATCTTAACATCTGTCTTCAGGTCTACTCTAAGTGTCAATTTCTTTGGAAGTTTCCTGCTGACCCGTTTGTTCTATGAGTGGTTTCCCTGGCTAAGATGCGGAAACTAGTCATTCCCAAATACTACGGTCGTCCCTCGATTGGTTTGGCTCTTTTTGGCTGTGCAAATCGTCCATTTTATCACGTCTGTGTTTTCCCTGACAGGGCTTTAGGGAGGAGATACGAGGGAAACATTATTGAGCAGGTATGAAATCTCATTTATTCTAGCAACGCAAATCTAATATGAATTTTGAGGTCGGGAGTTTTGACCCTCTGCCGAATTCGAGAAACGAAAAGTTGGTATCTCTTAATTTTGGTCGGCTTAAGTACTGGATTGGAGAGCGGAACGCTCACATATCTGTACCCGTATTAGAACTGCTAGGTAAATGATGGTGATTTCGGATGTCATTTAGAGATACCTTTGTATATGTAGGACTTTCTGGACTGTTTCCTATTCATCCAAAAACGTTCATTCGAGCCAGGCACAACAGGGAGCACGCCGGAAATCTTGAGGGGCAGCCTAGCGAAAAATTTGGGGAAGAAGCTACCAAGCAAGTTGGGGATAAAGTTACATCGGATAAGGTATGGTCCATGCTCCCTTACTCCTATTTCAATTTCAAGGAAATTTTAGGCATCGGCATAGCGCAATCTCAATATGATTATTTATATCAAGCGACCACTTTCTAATCATTTTGCATTTCTACTTTTCCACTTGGTATTACTTTGTTCATGCGATCGATGTTACGAAAACGTTAAAATAAATTACAATGAAAGTTTATTCACTTCCGATTCTGTGTACAGTGTTATTGGAACTTCTCGAGCTTGTGTTGACAGCTACGAAGCGAGATTTCTTTTTGGTCAGTTGTTGTCGTTGAGTTTCGAATCTAAACAGCAATATTGCTTATTTTTTAGGTGCGGAGCATGAACTTCCTTCTTGTCCTGTTGGTTTGCTGTCAGTGGAGCTCAGTCCAGTTGCTCATTTCGACAACATGAATCAAGTGTAAGTTGCGGTTTTTTAAGCTAAACCAATGGTCCTTTAGGTAGTTGAATGTTACCTCCACCATAGACCAATGCAAATTCGCATTTTCGTGCACTTTTATGCTGGGCGACGCACTACTGGAAAGCTCCGCTTCTTTGTCACTAGATGAGATGTTTTGGATAGATTTGTCTAGAAGTAGCAGAATTCCAAGCTCACCATTGAAAACTCAAAAACAGTTCATAAGCCTTAGAATTACTTAGGAGAACTTC